GCTAGAATGATGTGTCATTAGCACCACCTTCTTCAGCTCCATGGGCCTGAGTTAGTCTTTATTCAGTGTGAGAATTAATTTCATTTGACTACATGGACTATATACAAGGCCAGTAGAGACCCAACAAATCAGGTATTAATTAAAATTTAATTTCAACAACAAAAAAAATCTGCCCTGTATTTTACCCTCTATTACACTTCTAAAGTAATGGCAAAATAGAGAATGTTCCTGAGAAGCTCTTTCCACAAGGGACCAAAGTAATTGAGAAAATGTTGGCCCCACCTCATCCAGTTCTGTTAAGAGCTGGTGTCGAGGGATAGGCTCAGAGAGCCTCCTGGGCTAGGGGACGATAACCCCTTGTGTCTCTAAAAATGTTTTCATTCTGGAAAAAACTAAGAAGAAAAAAATAATGTTTTCATTCCTAAATTGTCCCCGAGAGCATCTTTCCATAATAAAACACCACTGCTTTGTTCTAGGATGTATTTTACTTCTGAATAATCTATATCAAGGTTGCAATGCCCAGTTGCCTGTGGTCAGTCCCTCCAGCCTCTCCAGCAAAGAGCCCATCAGCTTCCCCACTCACCCTTCCCAGGCCCTTCTGGACATGCTCCCCATCATCCTGAGAGATAATTATGGGATGAAAGTTTGTTAATAGAAACTCGACCCAAGTCAGAGCCATAATGTAAGAAATCTGACCCAAGGGGAGAAGACTATGTAAGTGTTCTTCATCCATAAATTTTTCTAAGCTGGATACCTTCCTTACCATTATGTGGTACCTTTATTTTCTCTCCTGTCTCTGTTGCTTGCATTGCACTCTCAGCTTATTTGTTTTCACAGTATCTCCTGATCCTGCCCTCCAGATGTATTGCTGACGTTAAAATCATTATTAGAAGATTGTCCCTAACCATTTCTCTAAATAGTAGGATGGTAGGAACCAATGTGTGATGTCTCAGTTATTTCTGATACCCTTTTTTACAGTGTATTTATTTCTTCCAAGAGACAGAGACCACAAGAGAGTCTCCATGATGCCACCCACCCCACACCCAGGCACCCAGGCCACAGTTGTGCCTGAGGGGCCACAGGCCACAGGGAGATCTCGAGGTGTTATGCCCTGCACATGCGCCCAACATCACAGACTGCTGTGTTATTTTTGCACCACCAGCTGGTCCCTATTTTTGTAATTTTACGATGTGAGTATTCATGACATAGTGCAGAGAACAAAGTATTTAATCCCACCAAAATGCTGACTCGCATGGCGTTGCTCAGTATGAGAAATTCCATTCCTTTTGGCTGTAGCACAACCCATGGCTACTCAATTCTGATTCTTTTCATTCACTTGCTCCCTTGGATGGTGACGTGCAGATAAGGGGGGACATTCAACAAGAAGTGGCTAATTCTTCTCATGGTTGTAAAGGTCACCTAATCCCCTCAGTTTCACCTCTCATTTGTGACTGAAGTCTCACGTGACTCAGCGGTGGTCATGTAAGGACTGCCACAGCCCACAGTCACCGTGTCCTGGACTGGCCTCTCCCTTCGCTCTGTGAGTCTGAGGTGACCCTCTTCCATAGTCTGCTTCATATCAGAGCTCCCCACAGATATCTCTGCTTGTTTCACTCTGAGATTTTTCTCCAAGTGCACCATCAGCTTCCCTTTGTCATCTTCCCAGTTATTATCATTTACACTCTTGGCACGGTCTCAAATTCCTCATGTAATAAAGACAGGATTGCATGGTAAAACGATAGACTTGGGATTCTAATACTGACAGCACTTAGATTTTTACATGTCCTTCCTCTAAACATAAAGAAAATGTCACAATAGCCTGGAGTTTTGGATCTCCTTCCCATAATATGAGTAGATTTTACTACATTGTCATAAGCTCTCTTGGCAACTCATGATGCGAACACTTCTTAAGCCATTGGCTCCACAGCTACACACAGACATGCACACATGTACACACACACTCACAGATGTGTTGATGTTACATGTACTCTGCATGTTTTCACTGCAGTCACATCACTTATAGAAGAGAGGCTCCTCCTAATAATTTCAGCATCTCCTTATGTAGCCAATATAAGCATTCATGTTTAAGCAAAATAATTGCATTTTCTACTATATGTAAATATTTTAGAAGGTTAATGACCAGTACCCCAAAATAAGTTACTTTTCGGTATTTCTATAAAACATGGCAATGCAGAAGTATCTTTCCAGGTAATAAACATGAATTGAACTGCACAAGAAGCCTGAAAAGTAGGCAGATATTGATCTATGATTTCTATGACTTGTATTGATAAGGACAATGGATTTCAGGGAGACTGTAATCAAAGACTGAGGACACGAGCAGAAGCTGAAACACTATCTCACAGTCCATTTTTAAAACTCTGCTTCTTGTTTTCATTATGCCTTATTTAAAAATGGGCATAGGTTGGGGCCAGGTGATGCAGTGGTCACTGACATAGCTGGGTCACATGGGGAAGGTTGGTTTTCTTTTAAGAACTCTTTATCAGACATAGATATAGATAGATATATAGATAGATAGATAGATAGATAGATAGATAGATAATATAGATGAGATTACTGAGATTGTATTGGAAATATGGGAATTTAAATGTTATAAGAATTATTTAAATACTGCTCACATTTTAATTTATTTTTAATATATTTCATTTTATAATTTCATATTTACATTTAATGACTGTACATCTGTATTGCATACAATATGTATTCATTGCATGTCAATCCTATCAAAGATATTACCACATGCATCATTTCAGAGAGAACCCAACATGCTGTGTGTGTCAAGTGCTTTTATTTTTTTTCTGAACCCCTCTTTTTCCTTTGACTGCTCAATAATATTAAAAAAGATGGCAGGGACCAGCAGGTTGCATAGTGGTTAAGGCACTGGACCTTCCCATGTGGCTGACCACGGTTCGAGTCCTGGACCTGGTAGCTTGCTTTCTCATTTTCCTTCTCTCTCTCTTCCTCTTTCTGTGTATTTCTCCCTGGTCAAATTAAAATAAATGAATAAATAATAAAATGAAATAGAAATAAATAAATAAAGTTAAATAAAATACTTCTTTTTAAAAAAGATAACAAATCTTCCATTAAAATATCAACAATGGGGACAAGCAGTTGGCATAATGGCTATGTTGCTGGACTCCCATGTAGTCTACTACAGTTTGAACTCCGAACCTGGTGGCTTAAACTCATGCCGGGCCCATGTGCATGCCTGCCCCAAATCCTGAGAGAATGGAGGAAAAGGGATTGCGGCATGGCCATCTCTGCTAGGGGGTGATTTCTTGTTTTCTGTCTCTCTGTCTCTCTCAATATTTCTGGGAAGCGTACATGAAAAATCTCTCAAAAAAATGAATGAGTTCAGATTAAGTTTTCTTTTTAAGAAAAATATTTTTTTTCTGTTGATAAAATTTATATAAAATTTTAATATGGAAGTTATAAGAAAAAAATTGTGATGTCATTTAAGAGGCCTCTCCTTGTCAATCAACATTTAATACCAGAGGTAGAGAGATGTAAAGAAAAGTGGGCCGGGAGAGTGGGAGGACGGAGAGTGTGATTGGACACAGGAAATGCGGGCTGTGTGGGACTAATTTTAAATAAAATATGTAGCGAGAGTGAAATCAAAGGAGAAACAAAGCTGCTGACGTATGTGTAAGCTACCATAGTACAGCTCTTTAATGCGAAGCAGCCATGTTTTGAAATAATTCACTAAAATATAATAATTGCATTTTTAACTTGTCATCTGTATACTTCAATATATTCATCCTGTCATTTTTTTAAATATGTAGTTACATTTCTAGCCCTCTATAATTACACCTACAAATTTTGTTATTATTTAAATAGTATCAATATATAACATTTAATTCCTAAATTTTTATAATTAGAAAGAAAATCACCCAACTAAGTGACAGAAAAAGAACTAACACCAGACAATCTAACCTCAAAGCATCGTTCTTAATAACTATTTCCCTCATTTTAATAATTAAATAGCAGAATATTTCCTTAGAACAAGTACCAGTTAGCAAATTCCTATTCTGGGCAAAGTTGTGGAAAATCTTAATCATTCGATTAAATCCTGTACTTGGGAGCCTACTCAAGCATGGATACTTTTCTTGCTGAAATTTTTAGTGCACTTCAGGGAGTTGTCTGTGGAATGTAGAGGAAGTACTTCTCAGCAGGTGGCATGTGGGTAAAACCGATCGGTCCAGCTGTAATCCAGCTGGATCTTAAACTGGGGTGCACAGACCTCTTTGGGGAAGGATGTCTCCTGATAGAATGTTATTACACATAAATTTGATCCTCTCGTAATCCTCTCAATTGTATGTATTTGTGAAACTCTGAGAAAGGGGCTCTAATTGTCCAGGAGGTATTTACCATACGAAGAGCGTGCCAGGGAGAGGAAGATGCCACACCCACTGTTGTCATCGAATAACCTCTGTCCAACATCACAAAAGTACTAGGTACGTAACTCCCTTCACAGTGTCATGAAACTAGTCACTCGAGTCATTGTGCACATTCACAGCTCGGTCACCTAATGCACTTTTTCTCCTACATTTTGTTTTTCAAGAATTATTTTATTTAACTTTATTTATTTATTAATTTTAATTTGACCAGAGAAGAACAGAGTGAGGGAGAGAGAAAGTGAGAAAGCAAGCCACCAGATCTGGGATTCAAACTATGGTCAGTCATGTGTGAGTCCAGCGCTCTTAACCACCACGCCACCTGCCGGCCTTGTCCTATATTTTGTAGATCTTATTTTGTCAAGGTTAAAACTATGCTCCTATTTTATTTCTCATACTTTACCAAATGAAAACATGCATTGCTAAAATTTTTTAAAAAATGATTTTGATTAATTTGTGCCTATATAACATTTTTTTCTATAAAATGAACAGAAATAAACCTGTGATTTTCAAACTATAAAGGTATATACATAACACTTTGTTGTAAACAAAGTTTTCCTTTTGCCGGCTTGCAGGGCGAAGGGTGTCATGGCCAATCGCACCACCTCAGTGACTGAGTTTATTCTCATGGGGTTTTCAGACTCCCGGGAGTGGCAAGTCCTCCAGGCTGTGCTCTTCCTGCTCATCTACCTGACGGCTCTCGCGGGCAACCTTCTCATTCTCCTTACCACCTTGGACTGTCGCTTCCAAAGCCCCATGTACTTTTTTCTGAGGACACTCTCTTTGTTGGACCTCTGCTTCATCTCTGTCACCGTTCCCAAATCCATCATTCAGTCCTTGACTCAGGACAGCTCCATATCCTTTGCAGGGTGTGTGATGCAGGTGTTCCTCGTTGTTTGGTTTGCATGTGCAGAGCTGGCCCTGCTCACGGTGATGTCCTATGATAGGTATGTGGCCATCTGCCGCCCCCTGCACTACCAGATCATCATGAAGAAAGGGGCCTGTGGGCAGATGGCGGCTGCTTCCTGGCTCAGCGGGGCGGCCTCTGGGTTCTTGAATACCTCTGTGACCTTCTCATTGCCATTTTGTAGATCAAATTTCGTCCACCAGTTCTTCTGCGAGATCCCCTCACTACTCAAACTCTCCTGCTCAGAGGAGTACCTTGCAGAGATTGGAGCCATATTTGTCACAACCTCCTTGGGAATCCTGTGTTTCATTTCAATCCTGATTTCTTATATCCACATCTTCTCCACAGTCCTGAGGATCCCATCTATGGAGGGCAGGTCAAAAGCTTTCTCAACATGCATTCCTCACATTGTGGTTGTTACTGTTTTTCTTAGTACAGGGTCCACTGCCTACCTAAAGCCCGTGCAGGAGTCCCCTGCTGTGTGGGATATGCTGGTTTCTGTCTTCTACACCATGGTGCCCCCAACCCTGAATCCCATCATCTATAGCCTGAAGAACAAAGACATGAAAGCGGCATTTCAGAAAGTGCTGAGAAAGACCATGTTCATAAACCCCACCAACCACAACCCTAACACCAACACCAAGAGACATGAAGCTAACTCAGCCAATAATAACAGACTCCCTGCTATTTAGACAAACAGTTTGTATTTTTAGGAATATATGCAATCAACAGTTCTTTGATATGTCTTTAATCTAAATAAATACATATAAAGTAGGATATCTCCAAAGCAAGAGGTTTAGACAATAGAAAGTACAATTATGAATCTATTACTTTTTTTCTTACTTCTGCATGTGTTATATTGACAGGTGCGTGTGTTTCGTATAGATGTATTTCTGCCTCTCAAGTGCTCACTCAGAATATGCGCTTGAGATCTAGCTACTTTATATTCCCTGTCAGGCGTGTGAGACTATTCCCAGGTTGTATGTTTTGGATAACAATTACAAATGATTTTTACTTTTCTCCTTTGCATAAGAAAATAAAGCTGGTTAATAACATTTATCATTTTAAGTTTTATAAGATGATAAAATTGTTGTTCATAGTGACATACTTATTTTCATTCCTAAACATATTAAGCATACTTTTTTCCATATCTATGCAAAACTTACTGTAGTCAAATATTTCAATAATCCTTTTCAATTTTAATGGTAAAAAGTATCTTACTGTTAAAATAATCTGCACTTTCACAGATTTCTAATTAGGATGAATGCATTTATTATCTACCTATTAACTATGACTTAGTATCTCTTTATCTATCATCATCATCTCTCATTAATAGAAAATTATCACTCAGTTTTTCTCTTGCATCAATTAACTTTTCATATAGTTTGGTCATTTTAAAATTGGATTACTTTCTATCTTTAACTTTTTTATCATGTAACACTAAAATCCATTGATTAGGTTTTATTAAGTGATCTACTCTCACAATGTCATTGATTTTAATCTTTGTATGATATATAATATAGATTTAGGAGTATTTAATTTGATTAAAGATGTTCATGTTTCTCTATATAACTGTCATTTTTAAGTTTTCTCTAGAATTTTAATTTTTCCAAAAATATTCAATAGACTATTCTATTAATGTTTGTTCTTTTTTCCAAACATGTATCAAATATACTGTTTTTCACATCACCTAGAATCATCAAAAACACAATTGCATCTCTGATTAAATAGACGTGTGAAGTCATTATGAGAAAGACCACACACAGGGGCACTAAGCAACATTTCACCAAAGAAACGAAAGATAAAATTAAGAGATAATGTGATTCTATGTTTTGATTCAAAGTGGCTGAATATAGAAGACTTAATTTTGAGCAAAATGAGCCAGACTGTGAGAGACACACACTGTATATCCACACTCAATTTGTACCAATGTCTGCACTCTATGACAGAAAGTGAGAGCTCTGATAGAAGGTAGAGAGGGTGAGGGTAGACACCAGAGGTTGTAAGAGGGGAGGGTGGTAGAGTGGCAGGAGGTACAAAGGGAAGAAACAGTTAGCAGATCAAAAAAAAGGAAAATTATCTGTTGATGGGGATTTTATGTAAAATGTGAAATCAATCTGAAAATGAAAAAGAATATGATTTAATAAAACTAATAAATTATTAAAAATCATTGTAAGGATTTGGGATTAGGTGGATTTTCAGTAAAATTAAAATGAAACAATGCTTGGATCTGCTGGAAGCCAAGCTGGCATGTTTGAAAGGTCACATCAGGTCTGGACTACAAAGCTGACCTGAGTCCCATGTCCTAGAAAAGGACAAACTTGAAGTACAGTGAATGTCATGTCCAGAAACTCCTGACTGAGAGCTCAAAGCTGCTTCTGTTTGACGAGTGACTAAGCAAACATTGCATTCCCAGTGAAGAAAATACAATCCTCAAAATACCACAGTCTCACTTAGAGATCCCACCTTCTCCGGGACTAAGAACCCAGCAGGCTGTTTTGACAGAAACAATACGTCCTGTTAGCTTTGAGGTTGGCTTTATTTGTATCTATTATCACAACCTCAGGAATGGTTTTTCACTTTCTCCATATTAAGGACTGTTGGACAAAAAATAACATAGCTTTGTGCTAATCTAATTATGAAGAAAGTGGTGGGACCAGTAGATGGCACAGTGGTTATGTTACTGGACTCCCACACGGCCCACTGCGGTTTGAGTCCTGGACCCAGTGGTTTGAAACTCACACCAGGTACATATGTGTGCATGCTCCAGAGCCCAGGAAAGGAATGGAGGAAAAGAGATTGTGGCATGGCCATCTTCCCTGGGAGGTGATTTCTCACTTTCCCTCTCACTGCCTCTGTCTCTCTCCCTCCCGTGAGCACACAGGCCATAAGTCAAAAACGACTTAAAAACAAAGAAAAGAGAAGAAAAGCAACTGGTGTTGTCTGTCTCTGCCCTCATATCAGGACATCAGAGACCCTAAGACGGCCCCTCCGCAGCTGTGTGAGCTTCTGGGCTCTGCAAATAGTCTGTAGTATCAGGATATCAGAGACCCTAAGATGGCCCCTCCGCTGCTGCGTGAGCTTCTGTGCTCTTTCAGGTTCGTGGCCCCTTCTCTACGCCATCTTTCTTACTTTCTTTCCTGCACTAACTCCAGATTTTTGTTTGGCTGTGAGAGAGTCGTGGCGACGATTGAACTGAGGTTTCCAGGGCCAAGCCTACCCTCCTTGTTTTCTCTTTTCCAAAATTGTTCCAAAATTTCTTTAGCAACTAGCAAACTTTTCGTTTATTTAAATTTCATCTTACTTTTATTTTTCTGGAGAGTATGTATGCTTGCCAGAGAGAGACAGAGAGAGAAAGCAATGAGCAAGCATCCTCATGGGGACAGTCACCACGGTGCAGTCACTTCTCCTCCATCTCTCCCTCCTTTGGGGCTTTAAGGCACACACACACACTCACACACACTCACACTCACACACACTCACAGACTCATACATGTGTGCACACGCCTAGGGTGGTTCTCAAGCCACTGCGTCTGGGACTGAAATGCACAGTCAGCCATGTGGGATCTGATTACCTTAACCATCATGCCACAAACTGTCCATATAAACTTTTCATTTTTAAGCTTTAAAAACATTTTATTGTAATTTTTCTTTTCAAGTCTTTTATGAAAAACAAGAAAAAATCTGCTGAAGATTAACTAAATGTTTAATTTAAATTGAAAGTCACCTAGAAAACCTCTACTAATAGATTGTTTGGGGACCAGCAGGTGGCATGATGGTTAAGGGCACTGGACTCTCACATGGCCAACTGCAGTTCAAATCCCAGACCTAGTGGCTTTCTCTCTCTCTCTCTCTCCCTCCAAATGAATGAGTAAGTAAATAAAGTGAAATAAAATAATTGTTAAGAAAAAGATTTATAAAAAATAGATTGTTGAAATATGTAGGTATTTATTAAAACATTTGAACTAATGCAGAGCTTTCGCAGTATTAGGGAGAAGCTGATTCCCTGGATGGCGGAAGGTAAATGTCACTAGGACTGCACAGTTGTGTTTTCCTTCTCATATACTTCTCTTAAAACCTGGTGCAAATCAAGCCTAGAACTGGAAGTAAATTTTATCAAATAGACCTTTGTTGTTTTTTTTTTAACATAGCTCAGAACAAAATATTTTTCCCCTCCATTGGTATCAGGAAACTTAGGTAGGATGAGACTTTTCACAATGAAAAGACAGGGGCCAGCAGATGGCATCATGGTTAAGGCACTGGATGCTCGCATGCTGACTGTGGTTCGAATCCCAGGCCCAGTGATTTGAAACTCATATCAGGAGCATGTGTGTGCATGTTCAAAGTCCTGAGAGGAGAATGAAGGATAAGGGATTGCAGAGTGGCCATTCACCTTTGGGGGTCTCTCTGACTAGCACACATTCTCTATAACAAAATTCTTAAAATATATATCTATATAAAGGAAAGGACATAGTCAAATACAATGCAAAATTTTATCTTAGCACACAAAACTTGACCTATAAATAAATAAATAAAATAAAAATAATCCCTTGAAAATAAGGTGCATCACTAAAGCAACACAGATTGCAAGTGAGAGAATAGGAAGCACGCTGTCAGGACCTGCGAGGAGCCAGAGAGGCAGGGGACTCCACACGGTGTGGGCCATTCGACTGGTTAGTGATGCTGCCTTCACCATAGTGGTCGGGCTCACAGATTTAGGGTCTATGTCTGTAGGATAAGAAGACAGGGTCCAGCACATGGCACATTGGAGTACATGGCAGGTCATGGTTAGAGCCCTGGATCTAGTGACTTGAAAATCACACCTGGTGCATGTGCATGCATGCCCCAAATCCCAGGAAGTGAATAGAGAAGAGATTACGATGTGGCCATCCCCTCTAGGGGGTGATTTCTCTCTCTCTCTGTCTGTCTTCCTCTGTATTTCCTGTGAATGCACACATCTATAGCAAAAAAATCTCTAAAAATAGATTAATTGGTTAATTAATTTAAAAATTTTAAAAACTCTGCCATAACTATCCACCCTAACCACGAAACTGCTACCTCTCCCCGAAAGCCCATCTGTCAACACCGTGATCAGTTTAAGGTGTTACCCTCTTACTCCCACTGCAGTGGTTGAACATATGAATACATATTCAAACTGCAGCACCTGTGCTCTGAGTTTTTTTCTTTTTTTGAAAGAGTTGAGTGTGGACACTTGTGGTGGACACTTGTGGGGTTATTGGAAAAGAGGGGGAAGGGGGTCTTCTTTCCTTTAAAGTAACCCTAAAATTTGATTTTCATATTGTGTTTTGTAGTTTCATTGTACACATCATTTTGCATTATTGAAATTTTTCTTATATTTCAAATTATTAGAGACTAGATGGTTAGGCCAGCCAGTGGCATGACGGTTAAGATTCTGGATCACATATAGCCATCTGCCTGGTTCGAGTTCCAGATCTGGTGACTTGAAAATAACAGTGAGCACATGTGCATGCATGCCCAAAATCTGAAGGAGAGAATATAGAAGAGATTATGGTGTGGCTAGCCCCCCATGGGGATGGTGATTCCTCAGTTCCTGTTGTCTTTGTCTCTCTCTGGGGAACACATGTACTCTATGACAAAAACAAATAAAAAGAAAGACAACATGATTACATACCAAGAGAGTAATTAAATGATGAGGTGGGGCCTTAAATAT